CTCTGGGGCACCTGGCATTGGCCACGGCCAGAAGACAGGATACTGGGCTAAATGGACTTTGGTCTGACCCAGTATGGCCGTTCTTATGTAGTTTACTGCCCTTCAGCTAAGGCCAAGCATTTAGGTAGCAGTTTAGTGGAGAGGACCCTGAAGGATGCCATCCGCTGCCAGTATGTGGAAAACCTAAAACGGAAGCCGGACCAGGGCAAGGCATTAGAGATGACGTGCAAGTGGGACGCCAGCAACCACTTCCTCCCCGGGGGCAGCTTCACCTGATTTGCCAACTGGAGGCTCATCCACAGGGCCTGGCTCAACTGCATCCCACTGAACGGAGCTGTCCATCACGGGAATCGGGACAAGCGATGTAGAAAGTGCAGCTATGCTAATGACATTACCCCACGTCCTGTGTAGCTGCAAGCCCCATTCCAGAGCCTGGCAGCTGCGACACACCATCCAGATCGCCTGGTCAGAGCCATCCCGCCACTCGTAGGGAAGGTTGCTGTGAACTCCACCATTCCCGGAACCAACAGCCAACTGTGACCGGACAAAGTCATCGCCAGCGAGGACCAGAAGATCATCATGGTGGACATCACAGTGCCCTTTGAGAACAGGACTCCGGCCTTCCACGATGCCCAAGCTCAAAAGGTGGAGAAATACGCCTCTCTGCCTGAAACCTTGAGAGCTAGGGGTTACCAGGTTCAGACACGCACTGATCATCGGAGCCTTGGGCGCATTGGACCCCAGTAAAAAGCGAGTGTTGAGAGAATGCGGAATTGGTCAATGCTACATTCAGCTGATGCAGCAACTCATGGTGTTGGACGCCATCAGATGGTGGAGAGACATCTACATAGAACACAGCACCAGACATTGGCAATACCAGTGGGGATGAGCTGGAGTGCCGATGAGAAGCGCAGTGGGGAAAGTAACTCAAATACTTTCCTCATGGATTATATTTTCAAAATGGACAAACCTATCCTAATTCTCAATTACTGAGGGACAATCTTCACTCATTGATATATTTTGCTTTCCACAACCAAATCTCTGTACAACTTTTCATGATGCTAATATCTAAACTATTCTTAAATTTATTCACCTAAATTTGGGTTATTGCTGATTATGCACTACGTGTATATGATTTTTAAAAACAAACTTTGTATTTGTGGATAATCTAAGCACTATACCCCGATGTACAGACACTCTTTTCTCAACCTGCATATTATATAATTTTAACATTAGCTTTAATAAAATTTAAAATCTAATAGTACCCACAGCTATGACTATTTTCTACTCAGCCCTAGGGATAGATTCAATCCATTATGTACAACAGCTCCCAGCAAACATAAGGCCCTGCACGTCTTAAGCACCTGATAGTCCCCTCACACTAAAGGTGCACCCTGAGAGCAGGATCAAACTCAAACAGCACTAGTATTCAATGTACAGATAGCCAGGATGAACAAACAGCTTCCTTCTCTTCAAGAGCAGCGGTTCTCAAACTGTGGGTCGGTACCCCAAAGTGGGTCACAACCCCATTTTAATGGGGTCACCAAGGCTGGCTTAGACTTGCTGGGGCCCAGGGCTGAAACCCGAGCCCCTTCACCGGAGGCCGAAGCCTGAGGATTTCAGTCCTGGATGCTGGGACTCAGGTTACAGGCCCCCCTCCAGGTCAATGGGGCTCAGGTTTCAGTCCCCCCTCCCGGGGTCATTAGTAATTTTTATTATCAGAAGGAGGTCACGGTGCAATGAAGTTTTGAGAACCCCTGTTCTAGAGCCATGTTCATCCACAAAATGCCATAGCAAAACCTGTGACTGATCCATGTTGTTGAATCAAGGCTCCAGCAGTTGGCTCTCCTTGATGCTTCATTCTACCGAAACCCCCCAGGGTAAGGCTCTCAGCCAGTCATACAATAACGGACATGGAGTGAAAAGCCCTTTCTGAGCCCTGGCAGGCTGACAGCCTGAAGCATGAGATTCAATCACCCTTATTTTAGCATGATTGGTCCCAGCAATGGAATGTAAAGCAACAACCGCTTGCAGATTATAGCCCAGGACTAGCAGCAAGGAATGGCCAAGTTCTACCTCCAGCTCTGCATCTGTTATTTTGGGCAAGTCACCTAACTTCTCTTTCATCGTTTCCCTTCTCTGAAATGGAGAGGTTTCTTGTGTCACAGAGGAGTCAGGAGGCTTGTTAAACTGATCTTACAAATGACAAGTGCCAACTACTATCAGAGTGATCCCTTCTTTTTCTTGTTCCTCAGCACGGTCACAATTAATCTTGTGTGAAATAAAGAGTGAGGACTCCCAGGGGAGACTAGTTACATCCTTTTTATTTTCTCTAGAAAAAAATCAGAACATAGAGCTGAATTTACATAAGCCACCAGTGCCTTGTGGATGACATTAATAGTGTGAAAGGGATCTCACAAAGACTGAATACATGGATCATCTGTAAACTGGTTGTGGAGTCCCAGCCGCAGAAACCAGATAAGCAGAGGTGGTCACCGTTCCTAAAGTGGCTCAAAGTCCCTTTGGCACATGGATGTGTTGCCTGTTCTGCTTTCCCTCCCCAGGCCTTGAGGAGGAAAAGAAAGCTGCGTGGAGTGGCTAGGAATGAGGTTTTCCCCAGATTTCATGTAGATTTCCTCAAGCTCCAAGGATCAATTATTAGTTGGCGATAATTAAAGTATTTTTACAGAAATACAATTTTTTTATGCATAGGGTATTTTTAGTCCAACACACACACTCCCTCTCTCACAGCAGTAGGGGGAAACACAGAACATTTCCCACCCAAACCAGACACAGAGGTCACTGTGGAGTCCAGTACATAAATGGGATGTAGTTCAATATCAGAGCAGGAACAGGGATGCCAAGTAATGGTAAGACCATATCAGCCATCAGGAGACAGTCTAGGGGCCTCACTAATACACTCTTCGCCTGCATGTATAACAGTTGGCATTAAGCTGACCATTCCATTGAAGCGGAAGGGAAGAGCGAAGCTGAGACATTTGGTTGCCTGCTGGAGAAGGCCCCATTACCATTACCACTGGCAGCCTCTTTGCCACCCAAGTTCCTTCTAAACTCTAAAAGGCCTTTATCAGAAGCCTTATCTATTTGTTCCTCTTTCTGCTCCAAGCCTTTTAGTGGAGAAGATTCCTTGATAACTTTCCAGAATCAATTTACAAGCTATGGCTGCTTTCCCATAAGCAGGGGGCGCCAGGGGTGGAATGTCTTACATTCTCCTAGGAGAAGACTCCAGGTTTGCAACTGAGGTCTGGATGTTGGATTACTCTTTTGTGTTCCCAACAGTGTTGCAAATATGGGAGAGAAAGGAATGAGCTCAACAAAATTGCTGGAAACACTTCGATATCAGATATACATTCAAAGAGAAAGAGAGGGGATCCATTAGGAACTGCATACGAATTACAAGCTGCAGTAGGCCTGTACTAAAGTGACTCAGACAAGCCACTGCATCATCAGTTCCAAGCCAGCACTAGGGAGACATAACCTTCCTTCCCAAGCCTCATTATTCCATTTGAAGGACATGACCAAACCCCACACAGAACTCAGCATTTCAGTGACATGCAGGCCACTTTCTAAAACCTCTTTAAAAACAATCCCCCTCCATGGAGAAGTGAGTGGTTAACTGTTTCCCCTTTCAGTGTTATATGCTGTCCCTACAATTGTGATGATGGCTGGCACAGTGCAAGTATGTGGATGCGTGTTACTGGCTCCTTCTCAGCAGGCCTGGCGCTAGCACACTGCTCTACTACATGTGTAGGGAGAAGGGAGCCCAGTCCATGCTCCTTATGGAAATAAAGCACCATGAGCAGCTCTACAGTGCTTCCTGGAGCTGTTCGACGAAGATGCTGATTGGTCACAGCCTGCCCTCTTCAGCTGGGAGAATGGTCTTTGTAAAGGGCAAAAAGGAGAGAAAAATATCTAGATTAAAAGAAAAGGGGACAAAATGCTATAAAACCAGAGCAGGTCTGCGTGAAGACAGAATTTGCATACAATCTCTAGCCAACTGTGTATCTTGGTGGAGACCACGGAACAGGTTTTCAGTAGTTGTCACTGTACAGCAGATTGTTCTCTTTTTAAACACCAAACAGACTAAAAGCTGTCATAGATCCACCTGCTGGTACTGTGCTGCGGTAGCCACGGGAGCTGGACCTGAACAGGGATTGACAGCTCCCTCTGTACCACAGTTGAAATTAGCACAGCTTTTTTTTTTTTAAAAAAAAGGGAGGCTCCATCTTTCACCCACCTCTGGCCTAATATTTGCAAACTTATCTGAGGGCCGCTTAATGGTTGCGGTATACTGCAGCTAGTCCTAGCAAGTTCCACAGTTCCCCAGAAATCTGGGGGGAGGGGGGAAGGCCGTGAGCTCGGAGAATAAAGTGCAAAATGCTTGTGTCAATAGCATGAATCAGAGCGTGGAAGTGGAAAAAGCAGCGGTGGCAGATTTGCTAGACCTTTCACCTAGTATGCTACCGATATAAAGGAATTTCTCCTCTAGACACTAGTTCATAGTGGCGGGAGTTTCACCTATATATAGGTGTCACGGTGCTCCTATGGAACACACCGCTCCAGGGTGTGCTTATCACTAAGTTACACCTCTACAGAGGCTTGACTGAGCTTGCATGGACAACAGCAGAAGACTGTAGAATTCACCTCTAATGCAGGTGAGTGTACCTGTGTGACTTTCACCTCTATGTAGGTATACGGGCCAGTGTGAATGATATCTTGAATATCACAATGCAAGATTATGGAACCCCCCTGCCCCCAACCACACACACCCCTCCTCCAGGTATGCACATGCATGTCAGAGACAGGTGTGATTTCCTGCACCATGCTGGTGAGTACGTGGGTGAGTGGGAGTATTGGGGCAGCACAGTACGAGTCTCTGAGATTACACAGGAAGTTGAGAGCTGCTGAAATCACCTTGGTCAGGGAGTATTTCAGCACTGCCAGGTACGTACAGTGCATGGGAGTGGGAGATAAAAAATCACAAAACAAAGTCCATAAAACAAGGAGGTTTTGGGGGCTCTGTAAGAAGAAACCGCTGGTCATTTGACTCTCTAAAGCAAGTCCTCTCCCTTGTGGGTAGAAGAGCATAAGAGTGAGCAAGGTGCCTGGGAAGTGAGGCACTGTTGAGTGGCCTCCATGGGCAAGGGAGTGCATTCCCAAAAAGAGGTGGGCAGTTAGATTTGGGGGCCTGGGAGAAAGCAGCATTATGGCGTATAAGCAGGAGGCGGCTGGAATTGGTTGATCACTTCGTACTCCGCTGGGTAAGGTTCATTCTCCTCCATCTCGGACAGGAGCTCCAGTGCCTGCTCCTCCTCCTCGGTTGGGTAGTGGCGCAGCAGGTTGGCAGCAGTAGCGAGGATGGAGGCTCCGCCAGCTCCCGCCACCAGGTAAAAGCTGACAGCAAAGGTGACGTAGACCTGAGATCCATGGTATTTTTTGTGCTGCTGCTGCTGCGCAAGAATCAGCTCCGAGGCCCAGTAACAGAATCCAATCACAGTGGCACATTGCAAAACTGAGACCAGCAGCAGTGGAGGATATGCGAGAGAGAGAGAGAGAGAGAGAAGTAAGTGACCAAGGAGGAAGTGAATTACTCTGTTTTTTTTTTTTTTTTTTTTTTT